GCTCCTGCCACAATCCTCCGCCTTCGCCGCCTTGAAGAACCGTCTCAACAGTGTCAGCTCGATCGGCTACCTTCATATTGCACCCAAAGTGTGAGTATTTATGGCAATTCCCCTTTATCACTAACCCATGACCCTTGTCGGCTTGGTCCGGCTTGCAAAGGGGAGTGGACTGCAGCTAACCGCAAGCCTACAGAAATCCCAGCCCCGCCACTAGCTCGAGCTATGACAGACCGAACAGGTTGAAAGGCCGAGAGGACGGCATCATCCGTTGGAATGAGCTGCTTGAGAAGTTCCGCAGTGTCCAGGAGCGGGCTCGACGGGCTCAGAGACACTCCGGGGACGTTGACGATAGTCGGGGCAGTCTTGGTTTAACAGACTTGCGCTTGGGAGAAGGAGCGGACATCAAGGGGGGCAAGGAAGCACGTAACCCAAGTGGACCACCAGTTCCAGTGAAGGACCCTGCACCTCCGGCCGCGCCACCTGTTAAGCGAGCTGGTCTGGGGATGCGGGGGATAAGAAACTTGGGCGGTGCAGTTAGGGGTAAACGAGCTGGCTGATGTTGTTTTCTTTGACAAGCGAGTTTTGTCTTTAGCGCGTAGTAATTCTAATACCCTAGTGATGCAAGCTGCAGCGTGTGATGTATGCTAAGCTACAGTAGAAAGTGGTTATGATCGGTCCTTGCGGGGACTCTCGCGTTCGACCCAGCCCTCGAAGATGGTGTCTCGGCGCCGGATAATGGCACGGATCTCGGTACGAAGATTTTCAAGCTGAAGCCGAGCCCTCTGGACGTCGTCTGGAAGGCTCGAAAATTGGGTAACGTGGGCATCCAATCCTCTCTTCTGGGCCAGGAGATCAAGATACTTGCTTTCTTCCTGTACAATTTGCTCGATGGCGGGTTGGGCAGAGATATGCGATCGGTTCGCATTTGACATTCGGTCCTTCAGCTCGGGCAAACGAGCAGCCATGGCCTTAATTCTCCTTTGCATGTCCAAATTCTGGCGGGCAAGGTCGTTGGTGGGTTTGTAGTCGTCGCTGCGCAGCGTTTGCAGAAGCTCATCTGCAGTAGTAGACTCTTGCTCAATGTACTTCAGTAGTACGTGCACACGAACCCTCATTTGCTCGAGTTCAGACGCTCGGGCATGGAGATTTATCATGGACTGGCCGAGGTTTTCGGCATCCGGGTACGCCACGGAAAGCTGGCATGAAAGTGTCGCCATGGAGTTGAGGGCAGTGCTACCCTCTCGGGTGAGGTGATCCTGGACGGCAGTCAGAATCCTCTCGCGGACGGTGGCCGTTGGGGGCAATTCAGAGAGACGCGCTTCGGGTTCATGGTAAGCTTCGCCGAGTTGATGCAGAGCGGCAGCCTCAGCCCTAGAGACGAGTTCGCGTTCCTCATCCACAGTCTCGTTCAGCGAAGCCAGAGCGAGGAGGGCTTTGAGGGTTTCTGGATTCCGCTCAAAAGGCGGGACTGCTCGGCCGTGGAATTTGGCGGTAAGCCAACCGTCAACATAGTTCCAGTCTTTAGCAGTAGAGGCAGCAATGCGTGCTATTGAGGGAGAAAAGATGGCGGTTGACGGGGGGAGGTGAGACATGTTGACGGAGGTAGTAGGCTGATAGTCGGAGACAGCGGCGGAAGGCCGTGATTTTTGTTATGGTTGATTTGGCCTATCCTGCAAAGGAAGGCCAGATCGGGAAGGTACAAAGTTTCTCTGGGTCTGGCGAAGCCGATGACAATAGCAGATGCCGTGACTTCTTCAAAAAGTGGCTTGCGTACCGGTCAGAGTTAAGGTAGCAGCAGCCACCTGCTTCTTGGGCGGTAAGTAGGTACGTAGCCTAATTAAAGTGTAAGGTAGCTAGGTAGCTACCTGTGTGTACGTATGCGCGAAAGTGGGGCGGATCTGATCTGGACACTTGACGGAAGAAGTAAGGTAACACTATGGGTTGAATAGGCATAATCGGAATACTTGCGCCGTACCAAATTACCCAAGTACGCGATACGTATAGTTTCCTGAAGATGCAGGGGGAGGCTGTGCGACAGCGAAGTGAGAAGCGTTAAGGACTACCTGCTCCACAGCCCATCTCCATCGTTAGCATTTGTACCTTCCATCAGATCGTGGCGGTCTTTAAGGACAACTTTTCCATTTCGACCACTTCTATAACATCACTCGTCGTCTCCCCCTCCACTCCTGTTTCTAGCTTATTGTCTTCGACCATTTCTGCCCGTCTCTCCTTGCCGCAACATCTCTTTTCTCTACCTGTCTACTCGAGGATCCGCGGCTGCCTTTGGTTGCTCGTCCCGGCCGCCTGGCGTCAGCGACAGCCATGCACATGCACGTTCGCCTATGCGCTCTGGCTTTCGCAGCCACGACACTACTCTCTTCGCCAGCTCTCGCAATTTCAGCCGACGAAATCCCTTCTGATACCCCAGTCTCGTCTTTGCTGTCCTCCGCCCAAGCCCATCTCTCCAAGGGACAGACGAGCGACGCCCTCGTCTACTACGATGCCGCTGTCGCTCGCGATCCCTCCAACTATTTGACCCTCTTCAAGCGCGCCACGACTTACCTCTCCCTCGGACGAACCAACCAGGCGACCGACGATTTCAACAAGGTCTTGGCATTAAAGCCCGGCTTCGAGGGCGCTCACGTTCAATTAGCCAAGATCAAGTCTAAGGTTGCCGACTGGGATGGCGCAAGGGAACAGTACACTCTGGCAAACAAGGGCGCCACCTCACCCGAGCTCGTCGCCCTCGACGAGGCTAAGGGCGCTGCTCACCTCGCCGAGATGGCAGAGAAGAATAGTGATTGGGAGGCATGCGTCACTCATGCAGGCGAGGCCATCCTTACCGCGAACCGGGCTATCTCGCTCCGCGAGATGAGATCTCGCTGTCGTTTCCAGCGCGGTGAGGTTGAAGAGGGCATGAGTGATCTGCACCACGTCCTGCAGATGCGGCCTGGAGACACTTCACCACATATTAAGATCTCCGCCATCACCTTCTACGGACTAGGCGACCTCCAGAACGGCTTGACCCAGATCAGGAAGTGTCTACACTCCGACCCAGACTCCAAGCCATGCAAGAAGCTCCTGAAGCAGCAAAAGGCCATTGACAAGACTTTGACCAGAGTAACGAAGGCATTCGACAAGAATCAACCTATGACCGGAGTCAAGTTGTTGATCGACTCGGCCGACGAGACAGGTCTGATCACCGACATTAAGACCCATGTTGAAGAGCTTCGTGCGGATGGCACCATTCCCGCCACTGCCCCCTCAACTCTGTACACCCGCGTTGTGGAAATGGCATGCCAGGGCTATTACGACGTAAGTCATCGAAGACGTAGGGCTTTCTCTTAAACAGTGTTAACAGACATTGCAGATGAATGGCAAGAAAGCTAAACAGTACTGCGATGATGCGCTCGCGCTCGACCCTCAATCGTTTTACGGCCTCCTATACAAGGCCAAAGTATTGATGGACAAGGAGGAGTTCGAGGCTGCCATTAGGTCTTTAGAGGAGGCCAGCAATGCTAGACCTGACAAGAACGACGTCATCCAGCCTCTCATGCAGAAGGCCCAGATCGCGCTCAAGCGCAGTCAGACCAAGGATTATTACAAGGTTCTAGGTGTATCACATGATGCTGATGAGCGTCAAATCAAGCAGGCTTATCGTAAGCTGTCAAAGCTTCACCACCCCGATAAGGCTGCGAAGCAGGGTCTCACCAAAGAGGAAGCCGAGAAGAAGATGGCGGCCATCAACGAGGCGTACGAGATTCTCAGCAACCCGGAGCTTCGCGAGCGCTTCGATCGCGGCGACGACCCCAATAATCAACAGCAAGGCAGCCCTTTTCAAGGAAACCCCTTTGGCGGAGGCCATCCATTCATGTTCCAGCAGGGTGGGGGAGGTGGAAGTCAGCAATTCCACTTCAAGTTTGGTGGCGGCGGTGGCGGGTTCCCATTTTAGAGGGAGCTCGGTGGTATGGAAGGAGTTAATAGGTTCAGCCTGGAGTTCATGGGGCCTTATTCATCAGTGGCATCTAACTCACATCACTTCTTGGTATTGCCAGCAAGAAGTTGGTGAAATAACTCGACCAGTCTTGGTCACTTACTTTCATCTTCAAGACTGTTGTGCCAGCGGAATGTAGAACATTAGTCTCTTTGAAAAATCGGCTCGCGTGATACTCCGATGTTCGCGGTTAGCTCGCTGCTTGTCCATGTGTCTACGAGTGACGTATCCTCACGGTTCCTGCGAGTGGGGCTTGGCTCGTATCAAGTCGCAATGCGTAACCGGGTCATTGATAGTACTTCGACATCCATTCCGTCAATGTGTCACATAGCAGTCTTCATGCGGCTCCGGTTACTAAAGCCATGCCCAAAGCAGGCCAGATAGTTGGCGTCGAGTGATCGGTCAGGTTGATCATATCTACGACACATTTTCCCTGGCGAAGAGCGGGTCGACAGATTAGCGACGGAACACAGTGAGATGTATTGCGGCCAAAGATTGCTCGAACAAGCAAGTGCCCGTCGCAGAGTCAACTGGGTTGCGAAGGCCAGTTGTGACAGTCTCGACCAGTGAGCAAAGCCAATTTGGAGGAGAGTAAGAGATGATATTCCAGATGAACGTCTGTAAATCCATCCCCGAGCATACCACCTCCCGACAGGTGTCATTTTCCGACGCCAGCGTGTTCAATATCCTTTGAATATGTAGCACTTTGCCAAATCGGCTCTCCAGCAACATATACAGCCCGCTTGCGAGTTGACCGACTATCAGCGTCCATGTTACAACACAACGAGGTTTTGATTTTCTTCTTTGGGGAGGAAGCTCTCGCTCGGAGTGGTACACTGTGCTCCTCCAGCGTTCCGTTGCTGTAATTCCCGGCACCAGGCCAATTGTTGCTCGGGTGTGGGAATCGATCCTGCCTTGCTCCGCCGTCTAAGATTTTACACTACCGCTCTAATCGGTCACAAAATTTGCCAACAACCCCTCTCTATGTGTAGAGCAGCAAACCGCTTCAAGGTGAAATATCGTTCCTTGCGATGAAGTAAGCCCTGTGAGAGAAAACCGTTAGTTCCTACAATCACTTCCATACGTCTGTCCAATCAAAGACGGTGAACCTACTTGGAAGCCTCATAAGCAGACCAGCAAATAGCCGTGCTGGGCATGGTCGTCACTACACGGGGGCGCACACCCTTGAAGAATCCCCGAAAGCCCTCTCGCTCGTACAGTAACCGGCACCCGGCCATGAAGCCATTGACGTTTCTCAACGCCGGGTCGGTCGCAGTTCCTCGCGTCTGCAACATAGTCTTGATCACATCCATGGGCGTGGTCAAGGCGGCGGCAAAGCCTCCAGCGACAGCGCCAGCCAGACAATGTGTTGTCGGGTCGTACTTCTTGCTCGGATTCATCGCCGTTGAAATGGATTCATAGGCGAGGAACTGCAGAGCAGTGAAGGGAACCGTCATCGAGAGGGTGGTCGGGTAGGAAACGTAGAAGGCTGCCAGTCCCTCGGTCTTGTAGACGTACTTAGCACAGTCCGTCATGGAGCGGTACATTTTTGCAGAGTCCTGGATTTGCATTCGCTGTTTGATGACTGGAGGCGCGAGTAAGTTGTCCGCGTTCGTAAGGGCAGGTGCTTCGCAAGCTACTTACCATCGAAGGGGTTCATAAGCGCATCGCTTGCGATGGTAGCACAAGCTCCACTAGTAGCTATCGCGCTGTGTTAACCATCTAGTTCACTCGAAACGAGGGCCTGCGCAAAACAACTCACCAGCAGCAAGAGGATGGTGAACACCCGCCTGGTTGCCTCCCATAACATGCTTAACGGCCTCGTACGTAGCAAAGTAAACAGCATGGGCAGGTCCTGATGCAATTAGTACGGGAACTTGAAGGTTTGAGGCCAGCTGGGGCAGGGCACTCACCAGCTCCAGCGACAACACTGGACATGCCTCTCCACAAACTGAGGACTCCCTCTCGGCTGGCTATGCGGTATGTACCTTGGATGACACCGTTGTAGACAGCTGAGGGGTTAGGGTTGAGAACTTGCATTCGGGTCTGGGAACTCCGAATTAGCAGAGGGCGAGGATACGTAGGCAAAGGAAAGCGCTGTCAACCGTACCTTAATGGCATCGATAGGGTACATGACGGTATGCTCCTGCAAGTATTGAAAATCAGCTTCGAACCTTTAAGCAATCTATCCGGCCAAAGCGAAGCTCCATAAGATGGGACAAAACGTACAGCTATGCCCGCGAACGCCCCGGCCGCCATATTTTGGACCAGGGAGAAGTTGGGAGGGAGCGATTCGTAGCTGTGGAATATTCCAAGTCAGCGATCATGGTTGCTACCACAAAGGTGCATTGGGAACGGGCCAGGCGGGTGTGGGTGGATGGGCGAGAGGAGTGCGCACTCATATTCCTCGACGGGCTCTGCATTGGGCTGGGCCATTGCGGCCGCAGCGTCAGATGCTTCGCCGAAAGGCTTAGGCTGAAGAGCCGCCAGATTGACAGCTTGGGGGGGATGCGACAGAGTTGTCGTGGGCGCCAGCGATTGCGGCGGATTGAGCTCTCGTTGAGCTGTACTCAAGGATCGTGTTGTCGATTGTCCCGGTGTCCTTTTTTGGCCTGGAGGACGTAAGGTTTTGCGCGTAGGTGCGACAAGACAGATGCCGGGTCGGCCGGAGGGGAGCGAATGGGGTTCGGCACGGGACAAATCGCATGTAAACTCGAAGTGATCACTGAGAATAGCTCATCGGCGAGCGGCGCAGTCGTTGCAGATTGCGATGCACGGTCGGCGAGGACGCAGGAAGGCAAAGTCGAGGTTGCAGGCGAGTCAAGGTCGTCGGGATTGGAGACGGGGCAAGAGGGCAGAGTGGTTTGGGGAGAAGGGCAAAAAAAAAAAAAAAAAAAAAAAAAAAAAAAAAAAAAAACNGGGGGAGGGGAAAAAAAAAAAAAAAAAAAAAAAAAAAAAAAAAAAAAAAGACCACTAGCAGATACCATGTACCTGTACGTGAACACAGGCAAACATATCTCGCTTAGTACTTTGGTGTGTTAAGATACCTTAGCTTCGGACTTTTGATCCCAGTAGGTGCAATACACCTACCTCGGGTCGCCTGGTTAGGCCTGATGCTGTCTCCTTCTTATGCTTTTACCCTCCTTCACCTCTGCCTCCCAGGTTATCACTGTACGCTGTATTGATATGTACATTTAGGAATGGGCGCGAGTCCTGAAGGAAATACTGGCGGGCGAATAACTGGCCACATGGCCCGAAGGACCGAAAATTTTGTATCCCACTTCGTCCGGTGTCGACGGTGTCGAGCGGACGTCGGGGTTGTCTGCGGCCTCGGAGACAAAGGCCGGCTTTCTTCACCTCATTTATCCTTACTCAGGTACCTTAGCTCGAGAACCCCGGCTTGTTTCCTAAGGTGGACTTCCCCCTTCGGAAGCGCGGTTTGCTTCGAAAACAGCATCGTATAATGCACCAATTGTATGGTTTGAGTGCGTCATGGCTACTTTAAAGGCAATTTGTACGCACTTCGCGTCGTGTGTATTGAAACTCAATTGTGGACGCCAATGCCTTTCAGCTCGGGTGGAAGTTGTAACCTGAGTTGAGTACTTGAGGGACCTCAGCTGCGGAACGTCCACTACAAGCTGGAAGCATGGGATGGGCTTCCATTGCACGGAAAGCTCAAATGATATTAGCAAGTGGGTGAGGCCCTTCCCCAGTGCCCTTTGGCAGTCCAGCTCCCCTCCCCCACTAAGCGCTCCGCAGCGAGTGGCTACCTACCTTAAGGTAGGCAGAGCACCTTAGTGGCACCACGACAGCCTCGGAGCAACAGACGACCCGTCATCGATCGTGCGAGGTGCCCTGGTCAACTCAACGACCGAGGTGCCTACTACGCAGTACTATCAATCTCGGAGGTTTTTATTTTATTTTATTTTATCTAAACCACCTGATAAAGGTAGATAGATAGAAAACACGACCCCGACATCTAGAAGCCGTCCCGGGCCCCTCCACAGGCACGTACCCTCTACACAGGTGCCGTAGTAAAGCTCTCAGAAACTTTCCTAGGATCTCAAGGTTCCAGATCACACACTTTTGCCCCCTTTTTTCGATCTAGTGCTGCCAGTAGCAATTACTGAGCAGACGGGGTGGCTGGACGTCAGTATGCTACTCGACGTCGGATTCAGTAGCTCGTCTTTCGTTATTTTATTCCATCCATCCGCCATCACCTATTGCTTCGGCATGCTACTGGCGCTGCTTCTGTCAACTGACAAAATAGGCCAGCTGGTATGGTAATACCAACACTTTGGCAACTTACCTAACGTAAGGTACGACAATAGTATCAAAGCCGACCACGCCAGGGCGTTCAAGAGCTTCCTTAAAAAAAACAAAAAACAAAGGGAATTTGAAAAAAAGGAGAACAAAACCGACCTCTTAAGTACTTATGTTTGCTGGTAAATCCAACGCGTGACCACCGCATCATTCTCTTTGTGCGTGGCCTCTCTTGTCATTCATCTCGCCGTTTCTTAATTAGCGATCGCCGCCCACGCCGATTTGACGTCGGGTTCTTCGGAGTTACGACGTCCCCTCGTCAGCCCGACGTCGTCTCCAAACCGTTGTCCGCCGAGTTCCGACGCCGTCATCTGCCAACTCAACTACGGTCACGCTGATCGGATCTCCAAGCTCTGAAATCTCGCCTCTCACAAACCACTGCCAGGCCCTACTGATTCTGCCAATACTTCTAGGGCTTCATAAGAATATCAATTTACGTCCAACCACTCGGTATTTTCTACCTGAATGTCCAAAGCCAACACCAGGTTCCTGTTGTAGCATCATTCTTTCCCGGCACTTCTTAACACATCGTGTGATCATGCAATCCATGCACCTCGCAAAATCTTGTACACCAGAACGCCACCAACCTAATATCCATTCTTCGGGCAATAGTCCATACTCGCTGCACCTCAAAGTGCTCCACTTTGGCGATCTGTGCGGTGTGCCTGTTGAAATTGATAAATCAATCCCAAGACCCCAGCGTCTTGCCCCCCAGTCTCCACAGTCGTACTATTCTCCCGGCTCAACCCTTTCGGAGGCGATGTTTCCCAAACCGATTCCCCTAGGGGCCCAGCTTCCTCAAAACCTTCGTCCTCATATTGTACTTGCGAATCCAATTGCTCGCCCATTCCAAGGCTATCTTCCGTCGTCTCCTCGATGATTCCTCCGCCATGGTATACACCCCGACTCCCTCGGCTCCGATGTGTGCTTCGGGCGCCGAAACCCGCCGAAGCCGGTTGGTGGTGTGGGTCAAGAAGCATCGACGCCATCGGCGACGGGGCTGTCAATGAAGGCCCAAATCGTGGCGTCCGGTTTGGTTGCCCCATACCACCTCCGGGTGCTCTGCTTCTTGTGAGATCGTAACGTCCCACTCTGGAGCTTTGCATTTCGGCCGCTAGAGTGGGCGATTGAAGTCCAGGGAAGGCCGGCGGCGGGTGAAATGGATGTCGACTTCCAGGGGGGATGTGACCAGGAATGCCCGTCTTTGGATTGATAACATAATTATCTAGAAATCCGTAGTAGGACGCCGCCATTTTTCCATGCTTGGTTGAGTAGTAGTCGTCACGTACATCTCCGGTTGCCACCTGGAACTTGGCCCTTTCCGCGCCCTTCTTGAAGTCGAAGACGGCAAACGAGCATACGTAGCCGACGCCATCCACATGTATCGTGAACTCTCGGAAGAAGTCGATGATCTGGTCGCTACACTTGGGCGCCGAGAAGATGAGAACCAGAGACGCCGTGAGTATACCGACAATCTCCTCGACCAATATCAATACCTTGAGCTTGTAAAGCTCTGAAAACTCTCTCTTGACTTCCGCGGTATGGAGTCGAGCTTCCCAGTGAGCTGGCATGTAGTGTATGAAGCTGATGACGTTGCGCAAGGCGTATTCAGGGTTGAAAACGGTAGTTTCCTCGGAGATCATGCCTCTCGCGGCCGCCCAGGCTGCAGCGAACACTCCAATGTAGAAGAGTGCCGACTTCCCGAACAATAGTTCGAAGCCCAAAAAGTGTTCGGGCTCTAAGAATGATGCAATGGCTAGAACGGATGTGACTGCCCCAGCGATGAAGGTTACCGATCTAGCAAACTGCTCCGTCAATCTCTTCGGGAACTGGTCAATATACGCATGGGCGGCCGGATACGACATATTGAGCCGTTCTTGGAATAAGTGTGGGAGTTCATTGAATTCCCTGAACTTCCATTCGGCAAGCGGTGTATATCTCCTGTGACTAAAAGTCCCTGGGTCCTTTTGGTATTCCTGAGGGGGTTTTGGTTAGCAACTTTCTCGAATTGGGATTGCATAGCTTACGTTATAGTACGTCAAAGCATGTACGATAATGAGATACGCAACCACGAATGGTCCTATCAGCAAATTGATGAAGCCGGCGAACATAAGTCTAGTCTTCAACATTGCGCTTAGCTGCCCTCGGCGATCTGCTTTGAGAAACTCCTGGTTGACCTGATTACTCTCGTCGAAGATAAAACCCAAAATGCTGAAGTGTAGGTTCCATTCTAGACTTCTCGAGAAGAACTGATGCTTTCCCATGAACGGGATGGGAAGCGTCAGGTCAAGCACGTCCTTATTCATCATGGCTATCAAGTAGTTTTCTCTCCGCATGAGTCGATTAGCGATGTCGTGGGCGTCAAGCCGCTCTTTGGATTGGTTCCGTATCCAGCGCCGCTGTGACGGGGTGATATTTATTGCAGTCTTGGGATTTGCATCTCTCAATGACATGACCCGCGAGACGATGTCTTGCCAAGAAACCGTCTGCATGTCTTCCTCAGGTATCTCGAGCAGATAGGTGTAAAAGTTGCGCATATTGCGCAGTCTCTGGAGATCAACGCTAAATTGGACGGCTTTCCAAATGAAGTAGAAGACATAGAGCCAAAGACCAAAATTCCAAAGGAATGACATTTTCCTGGTGCATTGCGGAATCACGATTTCGCTTAACGACTTTCTGCTTCGGTCGGAGAGAAGTGAATAGTCAACGCATTGTGACATGAAGGTAAGGAACACGGCGAAGAAAGCAGACTCCCTACAATCCTGTTAGCATTCAATCCCACTACGATTTGGTTTGCATGATAAATTGAATACTCACAAAAGGTGCAATGCTCGAGCACACACGATGCACCAGAAGCCGCTGCCTCGGTAGTATGAATACACGTCTTGGATGAAAAAGTCGAGGTTCGAAACGTTGACCCATCGCCAGAGTGCCTTTTCCTTCTCATTGCCCGGCGAGAAACCTCGCGCGATGCGCCTGAGCTTCGGTTTGAAGCGTTTAACGCTATCTGCCGGATGCAGCCTCTGTTGGGCTTGAGCCGCCTCCCACTGGCCATGAGTTCGTCGATCGGACGGACCAGGTATGGCTCGCTGCTGCGTCGAGGCTACGGGCTGTTTTCTGCGGTTGAATTCTTTTGCGCCCGCCTCCACCTCGTGCGGTTCGACGAGGAGAGAAGCGGGAACATCGTTGTCTCCATCTTCTTCGTGCCCTAGCCATGCCGGTCCTGTGTCGCGTCGAGCTCCGGTTCGCTGTGAGCCTCGCGTGACGGTTTCTTGGGGGCTTCTGACGAGGTTGGCGTTGCTGTCGAGAGTTGTGCGGCTGTCGTCGACGGCAAGATCCTGTGCGTGATCAAGGTCATAGTCTTGGAATTGTTCCTTCAAATTCTCCTCGTCGACATCGAGTCCGGCCTGATCTTCGATATCAAGATCCTCGTCACGTCTGCCTCTCAACTCCTCGTAAAATGATCTGGATCCTCTTGCGGGAGGACCCAGCCGGGAGAAGATGTTGGAAGCCATGCCGACTGTGTGGTGCAAGAAGAATTTCGAAATATTACTGACAGTACGCACTCGTTACGCATGTCGACTGATGCATGTTTTGGAGAAGATGGCTTGAATACAGAGTTGGGATCGACTTTTGAGAATGTGAGGATCGGTCTTCCAGTGCTGTTAGGAACGAGTTAGCTACAAAGACGCAGTGGCTGTTCAAGATAAGCTGGCTGAAGGACATATGTCTGTCGTTTAATAATAGTCATGTGTGCAGGTACGGCGTGCGCAGGTGACCGAGGTGCTCGCGGAAGATGGGAATGAATACCTTCTGGGATAGATCTTTGACAACTTGTCCGGAGTCGCCTTTTTGGGGTTGCTGGTGTTTGTGTTTGTGGCTAAAGTTGAGGTGACATGTGCAGATGGTAGCTCCAAGTTCGATCGAGGCATCACGAGACGAATGTGACAACAAGCTAAGTAGTTGACTGCAAGATTCGGATGCGCGAGGCGTGCCCAACTGATACTCGAAAGGTGTCTGGGATCAGGTGCTTGCCTACCAGGTACCTGATTACCTACCTACCTTACCGTTTACCTTATCGGATAAGATAGGAGACTACCGTCTATGACTTTATGACGTGGGCGTGTTGGGGGTGGGTCGGCAGGGCGGTGAGCACTGGTAATGCCGTACTTATTCCAGGCCGCCTTCCTTTCATGCCTGTTTCATCCCTGGAAAGTCATTGCTGTAGGTAGCTTCCATTGGTGTGGTCTCCAATCCTGATACCGAGGTACCTAAGGTACCTTAGGTAGGTAGGTGTGCTAGGTCTCCCCACAGTGCTTACCTACCTAGGTAGGTATACTCGCTCTCACAGCCAGGGTGGCAAATTAGTTTAGTTTAGTTTAGTATGGGGGTCAGTTAGTTAGTATTAGTTTAGTATAGGGTCAGCTTAGTTAGTATTAGTTTAGTATAGAATTTTTTTAGTAATTATTAGTTTAGTTTAGTATAGTTTAGTATAGGCAAAATACTAAATTAAAAAATAAAAATAAATAAAGATAAGTAAAAATAATAAGAAATTTCTTTAAAACTTTAAGTAACTTATATATATAGAAGTATAATATAATATTATTATATATATATATATATTTACTAAGGTTTAAAGAAATTTTATAATAATATTATTATATAGTATATTATGTATAAATAGTTAGTAATACTTAGCTATTAACTTAGGTTATTAATGTTAACTACTCTATTAACTGCGTTAATTAATAAAATCATTCGGGGGTACTTAAAAGTTAGCTTTTAATTTAGGTTATTAACGTTAACTACTCTATTAACTGCGTTAATTAATAAAATTATTTGGGGGTACTTAAAAGTTAGCTTTTAACTTAGGTTATTAATGTTAACTACCCTATTAACTGCGTTAATTAATAAAATTATTTAGGGGTACTTAAAAGTTAGCTTTTAACTTAGGTTATTAACGTTAACTACCCTATTAACTGCGTTAATTAATAAAATCATTCAGGGGCACTTAAAAGTTAGCTTTTAACTTAGGTTATTAACGTTAATTACCCTATTAACTACGTTAATTAATAAAATCATTCAGGGGTACTTAAAAGTTAGCTTTTACTTTAGGTTAAATTATAATAGTAAAAATAATAGTAATAATAGAAAAATAATAGAAAAATATTAAAATAAATACTAAAAATAATAGTAAAAATTATACTAAAAATATACTAAAGAATCCTATAAAAATAACTACTCTTCTTCTTCTTCTTCTACTTTTTCCTTACTAAGATATATACTTTCTAACTTAGTTAGAAAGTTAATACCCCAGTATTTTAATAATATTATCTATTTAACTATAATAGGCTGAAGCCTATTCTGGTTTTTACTAATAATATTACTTATAACTGAGAAAACCCTCTCTACTAGAGTAGAAGTACTAAGAATAGCTAGATACCTTCTAGCTAATATAGATAAAATAGGAAAATTAGTTTTATAATACTTCTAATAAGATAAAGTATTATCCTATATATAATATATTAGTATAATATAATATAATATAATATTTTTTAAAAATAAAACTTATGAATTTAATAACTGGTTCTTCGTTTAAATAGGTAATCTACTCTTCTTAAGAAGTAGCCTTATTAATATATAACTTATCCTCTAAGTTAACTTTAGTAGGTGAATTATTATTTTCTTAATTTTCTAAAGGAAAATAGGTATTATATTCCTTTTTAACTCTATATATATATTAGTATAAAGTAATTATATTATTTATTAAATAAAAACTTACTTATTATACTTATTTTTAAGTATTTCTTTAATATCTTCTATTATAATATCATAGTAGTATAGAATTTCATTACGATTAAAGTAGTGTAATTTAAATCTAAGATCTAATATATAGCCTAATATATAGTTTTTAAACTTAGGAAGTTTAAGATAGTTAAAGCTTTTAGGCTAATAAACCTAGAATTTTTTAAGGCCTTTTTCTATACTTTTAGTAAGTATTTTATAATAAGTAGCCTTTTTTATATTAGTATTAATATATAATATAATATTTAATTATAAATTTAATACTTATTAATTATGGAATAACTACTCTAAAGTTACTAAACTTAGAGTATAGAGTAGAAAGCTTTTTATATATTCTATATATATATATTAAGCTTATTAAATATTAGTATTAATATATATAATACTATTAAATATAATATAACTTACCTTTATTAAGACTAATATAAAACTGAGATTATAGTCTAATAGAAGGTCTAATAAAGACCTCTAATATAGATATTAAGTTATTTATAGCGATAAATTCTTAATCTATTAGGTAGAGTCTTATAAACTTTTTATTTTTAGTGTTATTCTTAACCTAAGATAATATAGGCTTAAACTCTATAAGAGTAATAAGTATTTTATAAGTAGAGCTCTACTTAGTAGTATTATCTATATAATATATTAATTATAATATTATTATAGTTAGATAGATATACTTACCTAAAGGAATAACTCTTTTATTAAAGTTAGAGGGTATATAGTTATTTCTTTTATAGTAATTAATACTATCTGAAATTAACCTCTTTATTTCTCTAGTATATTTAACTATAACGCAGATTTTTTAAATCTGCGTTAAAAGCCCTATATAATATAAGTATTAATATATATCAAATAAAATAAAATAAAATAAAATAATAATTAAAATATACTTACTACTTAAAAGATTAGTAGGCTCTTCTATAAGCTCTTCTTTAACCTCTTTATCTATAGCTAAGTTACTAATAATACTTTTAGTACTATTAGTATAATTAAATAGCTTTTCCTCCTCTTTAGTTATTAAAGTAAACTGAGATAGTATATTATTTACTATAATATTAATTATATATGTTATATAATGAATATCTCTACTAAACTCTTCTCTAATAGCTAATAAATAGCTACTAGAAAATTATTTAATAAAGGTATTATTATTACTAGTATTATCTTTAGTAATACTATAATAAATTATTAGTATATATTAATAATAATATTATATATATATATACTTACCTTTGAATTGTTGATAATTGTAGGTCTGGAAACTCTATAATAGAATCTCTAAACTCTTTATATATATAGACCCCAGTATGAGGGTCTAGTAGTTCTTTAAAGCCTATTAAAATATTAATAAATTAATTAAATAATAATAATAATAATAATATACTTACTAATAAGCTTAAAAATTAACTCAAAATCAGCATTTATATAGCTTAATATGCAGCCTAAGTAGGCATCTTGAGGCTTAGAAGTCTATATATCAAAGGTAAGAGAAAATCTTCCTAAGGTATTAATATTAGCTTTAATTTCTGAATTTATAGTAAATATAAATCTACTATAAGTATTAGAAAGAAGGTTTTAGATTTTTTGTCGATTTACTATAATATGCAATCTATATAATAATTAGTATATTATATATATATATATATATATATATATATATATAATAACTTACTTATTATAATAAGATAGTAGTTCTTAAAAAGAAGGAGAATTAATAACTCTAAAAGAGAGATTATTCTCTATTAGGAAATTTAGTACTTTTAAATATACTTCTTCTTCTATAAAATTAGTTATAATACTAGAACGTTATCATTTTCTAGTTTCTAAAGCTATAAAAGCTTGTTATATAGTATTTATTATTAAAGATTCTATATTATATTAGTATATAATATAAAAAATAATATAATAAAATACTTTACTTTTTTGAAGGGTTTTTTCTGATTTTTTATTATAAGTAATAATAAGGTAGTGTTTTTAATAGTGTTTAACGAAATTAGAGCTTTAAAAATTCTTAATTTCAGGTTTCCATTCTTTTCCACACCTATATAGTATTAGTAACTAAGAAATATATATATATATATATATATATATATATAATTAACTTACGTAGTATAAATAACTAGCATTTTTCTCTCATAAGAATAATTAATAGGTAAAAAAGTGCAAGTAAAAAGATTATTTTGAAATATATAAGTCCTACTATTATTACTAAGGCCTAAAGTATAGGATTCTTTATTATATTCAGAATCCTTATATTTAGTACTAATATTAATAATAGGAAGAGTAGGGGTATTAGGTATAGTAGAGTGGGAAGCTTAAGTATCCTCAGCAGGAGAGTTATCTCTAGAAGAAATAGTAGTAAAAGAGGTAAAAAGGTCCATTTTAAGTAATTATTTATATATATAATATAAATAAATAAATAAAGTATAAGTAAGTTATTATAATAGTAGTAATAGTTATAATAGTTATTATAGTAATAGTTCTAAAAAAAGAAAGAAGAAATTATTAAGAAAGAGAGAAAAGAAGTCTTATATAATAATGCTTTAATAAGTAAGTTTATTTAAAACAACTTTAATTTAAAGTTTATTTTAAAGCTATTTTATATTAGTTTTAGCTTATACTTAACTCTAACTTTATTTTTAAAATAAATAATAATATTATTTAAAAATAATATATTTAATTTAATATATTAACTAAACTAATACTA